GGTGAAGCAGACAAGTAGTGACAGGTTAATTGCAAATTTGGTCTTCCCAATTTTCTCCCTTGGGCTATGAGGATTGATATTGAATCCAAGGTATCCAGTATGGTAACTTTGTCGTTGTCTGTTTTCTAAGGACTTGATGTTCAAATTATTATACAGATAGGAAGACATCTGAGAAGAGTGGGGACTATTTATAAATTTTTTTGTATTTATAATTTATTTTACATTCGAATAATACCAAAAGAATTCAATTTCGTTTTTAAAATTCGTTAAAAATTTTAAATTTCTAACACGACAAATTATACATTTGTAGTTTTAAACCGTCGAGTTCGTGCTTAAAAGTTAAAACAATCCATCTGATCTGAGCCCTCCGGGTATTTTTCTGCTTAACAGAATTTACACGACCAGTTTCACCAAAAGAACTTCGACGTCCAGCCACTGTTCGGTTGACACGTAGTCGCCTATTTGTCCACAAACGGTTACTGACGTGGACCGGACTACACTACTTACTTTCCCTCCCCTCAAAACCCACATCCCACGCGCCAATTTCTTTTCTCGTTTTCTCCGAACTTGGACCACGCGCCAAAACAGGCGTCGCGGGAAACTTCAACTGAACGAGACTCCGTGGATCCCATCCCACATTTACATCATAAAACCGTCTCACGTGGCTGTACTTTCCGAGGAAGTTATAGCCAATCATAATTTTCCACGTGGTACATTGAACCAACACGTCAAGTTGTTTTCCGGATCACGTCGCAAATCGCAATCCAACTGGACACAGGCATTGGATCTGGACACGGCCGATCGCGCTGGCAACACAGGTGGCAAAGGCCCCCTTGAAACCGTGTCATCCGCGTACGTTAGCCAGGCGATTCCTTAATTCCGCCTTCCTTGTTCCAGGGGGGAGAGAAGTTTTCAGGTGGAGGCAGGAGGCTGGAGAGGAGAGGTGTAATCGAGTTAGTTACTTCCACCCTCCGTAATCGTCGTTTGTTTTCCTGTCAATATACCGGTTTATGATTTTAAACAGAATTCTGGTGATGATTTTCAAACTTTTCCCGATTTGGTTGCAGGGGAATTTCAAATAGATTTTGCGGCGTGTGCAGCGGCAAATCTCCTATTTGTTCCTCTGACGATTCTCCCTCCTCCCGGAGGAAGAAGACCAAGCGGTGACAGATTTTATTGGTATTTGGTAGAGAATGCAGTTGCAGGACAGGAAGCTGTCGTCTCGGCTGAAAAAACTCTGGACCGGAGTGGCTGCGCGCCTTTGGCTCCGTAAGAGCGGTAAGTCTCAATTGCCTTGTTATTAAACCTTTCACTCTCCGTCTATCTACCGTCGCCGAGTTGATTGCATTATTGTCGGGTAGAAATTGATGTAATGCCTAAGTGAAATCCTGATTTCACGTTTGTTTTCTTGTGTTTTCAGTTTAATATTTTTCAAGTGAAACGATGACTTGATTGATTCTGATTTCTGAAATTTGTTGTCCTCATTATCAAGATTCAGTTATCAGATCTTTTGCACTTGCGACTGAATTTACAGATCTTTTTGTATTGATTAATTTTATGTGCATTATTTTAGGTGCCATATCAGAATTTACAGATCACTGCTCTTCCACAAACTTATTTTTACCATAAATAACACTCTGATCTGTTTGTTAATATATATATGGGATGATTAGCTGAGATTTTTAGCAGGCTTAACCGGAGCCTTATATTTTAATTGAGAATTCATTGTTTCCTATGAGAAGGAAGGTAGAAATGCAACAGGGCTAACTACTGCCATGGAGCCACTGGGGAATCATCTGTTAGTTGTTGTGGATAGCAGTGGCACTGTAGTCTGTATCTATGTTGCTTTCAAAAAGAACAGCTATTGGCTACATAAACATTTTACTGACCCTCATTTCAAAGAATGTTAGATTTAGTTAGTTTTACCATGTCCTGAAATTACTTTCTGATAATGAATAGGAAAGTTCATTAATTTGATATGTGGAAGCAAAATGTATGTTTAAAATCTTTGGTTCTTCTATTTATTTTATTTATTTTTTCTTTTTGATCAGCATTTAAAGTCTTTAAAATGAGTTCTTGAATGGATGAGAACTTCTTTAACTAAATAGCAAAGATCATAATGATTGTTGAATTTATGTTTTCCAATCCTTTTTCATTTTAATGTTTAAAATCAGACAATTTTGTATAGTTCCCCACGGTGGTTCACTTATTGAATATGGGCCTGCAGGGCTAGTGAAACTACGAAAGGATGTAAGATCTTGTGAGTATGAAGATGTGCATGTGCTGTGGGAAATGCTGCAGAAAAGTGAATCAGAGCGATCCCCTCGAAAGAGCAAAAAGGGACAACAACACTGCAACTGCTTCGAGTGGGCTAAGCATGCACCTCTTCTTCCCCGGAGCTTCTTATCCAGTCATGTTTCACCCTCAAAGTCAGCTTGCATCTAGTTTGCAGTAGTTAAAAGAAGCTCGGTGTGTATTCCAGTCTATGGCCAAAATATGGCTGTTGTTTCAACTAGAATAAAAAAGTAAAGGAGGATCTGTTACTTTCTGTACATGAAATAGACCCTCCTCCGTATCAAGTTACCCATTTGTAGATATCAGCGTCCTACCAAATGAATGTGCTCCATTACCTCTTACCACCATGTTGTCTCCTATAAATACTAAAACTTAACGTATTGGTTTCCATGATAATGCTGGTTTATATATGATATTGTATCTACTTTGAACTTTGAATGTTGTCTTAGCCACGCTTGGGCATACTCTCTCTTCGTGGTAATCGGATTGTTTGTATCCATGTTATCGCAGGTGAGAGCTGTTAAAAGGGACACTTGAGTTTATGAACCGGTTCTGTTTACACACAACAGGTTCATTTTGCTGGAAAATGTGCAAAATCTTTAGAATTTGTTATTTTCTGTATGTTTGACATTTTTATATTTTATATAGCTCTAATTCCATTTTTTGAATTATTCTCGAATTATACTGCTGAAAATTAATTTCCAATAGCGATCATGATCTTTCAAGTGAAGTTAAACAACCGTAGGCCTTCAAAAAAAATTAAACTAAGGGGACCTGTCACAATCTCTCCTGTTTTAAAATTAACAGGAACAAATAGTGAGAAGTCTTATTAATCATTTGATATAAGTGGTTGCCTTGTGGATTTGTGGGTGTATTTCTCTTCCTTACCTTCTTCAGGAGATTCTTACCCTGGCTGATTCAAAGTTTCAAACCCCAACAAAAAGAAAATTATATTCAGAGACAGCAAATGGTGTGATAGGTTGGCAAAATTCCTCAAATCCACCCCTTATTTAAGGGTAACGATAGATCTATCATTCGAATAAATGTAAAGATAAATTATTATTTTTTAATTATAAATTAAGATAAATTATTTATTTTTTAACCGATTAGATTTATTAAGTTAATATTTTTTAACAAAAAGTTAAAGTTATACTTTAAAAATTTATTGATTTATCTTAATTTATAATTTAAAAAGACAATTTATCTTTACATTTTTTTTAGAATAAATCTATTCTTATCTCCTATTTTAAAGTGGATTTGTAGGTTTTAGCATGATGATGCATGGAATATCCTCTAAAGAGACAACGGCTTTGGTTTTGATGGCAGAAGCTCTAGCTCCATATCTCGCCATGAGTGTGAAAATTGGACTTGTAAGTTGAAACATAATATCACAAAATAAAATTAATGGGCAATGAGAAAAGAAAATGCTGTCTTTTTATTTATAATGATACTAAACAGAACCTTAATAGTGCTGATTTATCTATAATTGCAAATTTAATCTAGACGGACCGACCTTATAAGTAACTCCCCTTCCCCTAAATGGGCTGTCCGATCCATGGACACCTGATGTGGGTTTTGCTAAACACAGGCTTTGGGCTTGGGACAACTATAGTAATTTTGCTTCTCAAATTTAATTAATCTCCCGCAAACTGACCATATAATATATACTCGAGAGAGGTTCATCGTCTCTTGCTAGGTGTAGCTTCTTGGTGGCGGCAGTGACTCTAGGGTTTTCTTCATCTGCACATTCAATCACCACCAACCATGGGTCACTCCAATGTGTGGAACTCCCACCCTAAGAACTATGGTCCTGGTTCCCGTTCCTGGTATGTTCTCGAATCCGATGCAGGATTCCTCGACCCTCCTCCTTCAACTACTGTAGTTTCCTTATTTTCCCGGATATTGGTGCTGCTTGGTACGAAAGTTCGTACCTTATGATCGCTGAAACTATTTGAATTTTGGAGACACTAATTGCTATAGTCTTTCCTTGTGTTGATTCTACTAATTTTCTTAGCTATGATTTTAAAGATTTTATTGTAGTCTAGATGAATTTGAGCTGCAGAACCCAAAATGTTATTATATTAGTTTGTAGACTGCATTTATTGTAAGCTTTTTGGTATTCTAGAATGTATCAAAGGAGAGTTAGGTGACCAACATTTGTTTACTTTTGAAGTGGTAGAGACGTGGTGAAATCTTTTCATTGGCTTTTGTTCTTGTTGTGAAATGCAACTTGTTGGTTTTGTTTGTTTTTATTTACACAAACGTTAGTATTTGTTATGGTTTTGTGTAACATTAAGAGTTTTGGGCTTGTATTAATATTTTTGTTCCATTGGCAGTCGTGTCTGTGGCAATCCTCATGGATTGATACGGAAGTATGGTCTGATGTGCTGTAGGCAATGCTTCCGCAGCAATGCCAAGGAAATTGGATTTATTAAGGTAAATTGGTTTTCTTTTATTTGGAGGAGATGAAGAATTTTATGATTGTGTTCTAGGATTTGCTATTACACGTTCCTTGATAAGCTCTTGCTTAATAAAAAAAAAAACCCCTTTTTTTTTGGGTTCTAAGTTCCATTGTTTGGCTGAAATCAACTCCTTAAGCCCCCTTATTTCATGATGTACAGCTCTGCCAATTGAATTGATCCGAAGACTCAATATTTTAACAGGGGACATGAAATGTGTTTCCTGTTCCTCCTGTCTCCTTTCCCCAACCCTTCTTCACGCGTTTCTTGTTTTTACATTGTTCCTAATTCATGTCAAGGTCTTGATTTCTTTTAGATTGGAACTGATGCCTTTTTCTCCTGTTCTTTACAGTACCGCTGAGCGCTAGACAATCTGTCCAACACTGGTGGAGGTTCTGTCTGAAGATCTTGTCGCCAGATGTTCACTTTTATAATTATCCTGATGTAGTTTCTCGATTTTTAGTTTGTCCATCTTGTTAGCCAATTGGGAACACCTGCAATTGTTAATGTTACTGTTGAGACATGCAACTTCCATCAATTATGTTGCTTAATATTGCCCAACTTTTTCACGGTGTTGGAGCTTCTTATTCAATTCAATGTTTGCTCTGAAGAATTCATATTTGTCTGCATTCATGCTTTGTGTCTTGTACACCATGGAATTGGCAAAGTGTGGCTATTGATATTATCGTGAATCACTCATCTATGTTTCGTATGGTTTACCAAATTTTTTTTTTTTAAAAAAAAATCTATGTTTCATGTGGCATGCTCTTGTTTCACTCTAGCCATAATTGATTGAAGGGTCGCAAACTTTGCTAAGATGATCTCTTGGGCTTGCTATTTGCTAATAAGGAGTAGAGAATTTACTCCGAGGGGAGATGAGCTAAAAAATAAATGAAAAGTGAAAACTAAATTCGCAGGAAAAAGAATTGGAGGTGCGGGGAATCGAACCCCGTGCCTCTCGCATGCGAAGCGAGCGCTCTACCATATGAGCTACACCCCCGTGTTTGTCACTCTATAATACATATTCCTTTTTAAAAAATGGAACTTACGAGAACTTCCCCCCTTTGTAGGTAATAAACAAAGTGCTTGGCGCGCAAACAAATGCTTCTCTGCTTCTGGACTCTGGAGACAGCGACGTGCCCAACAATAGCCCTTACACGCGTTAGAGTCTCTTCATTCATTCATTAATCATCCAACTCCACTGCAACACTCCATCCTCCTCTATGCCAATTTAATACCTCTTCCGGAACGCTGCAGAGACAGTGAAACTCACATGGTTTCTTTTATTGCTCACTTATTACACATCCATTAAAAATTTAGTTTTAATTATTCACAGTTGCATACTTACTTGTTCATAGGCATGGCCCGTATGGGTTCGTCTTAAAAATTAGCCCAGCCCTACTTTTATCCCCTTATCCCCACCGCTTTTCTGGTAGACTTTAAAAGTTTGTGTCTTTCCAAATCTGGGTGACGAAAGGCCTCATTTTTTGACTTCTGGGTATTGGTTTTATTTGCTTAAATGGTAACTCTGTCTTATTATAGGTTGAGGTGCTTATAAAGGGTTTTTGGGGAGGGAGTGTCGTTAAGGGTGAGAAGAATAATTGCACTCTTCCATCTTGCTTTGCTTTCTGAGGACATTTCTATTTAGGGGTTTCGTGGTTTGAAGAGTGGGAAGAAGGCTTCTGGTGGTTACAGAAGATATTGACATTATGAAGATTGTTGGCATCTGGGTTTCCCTGTTTCTGTTTGGAACGGTTCTGCTGGTCCTCAGCTTCTCTGTCAGCGAAGGTAGTTCCTCCTTTCTCTGCCAAAATTATGCCCTTTTTGTTTCCCTGATTTTGTATGTGTGCTTGCTCATTTGCTTTGTCAAAAGAAATTTGTGCGCAGTTTGCTTAAGGACATGGTGATTGCTAGCTAATGACCAGTAAATGTATTGACTTTCATTCCTTGTTTGTGGAAATGCCGCTTGCTTATTGCTTCTTTGATTGTCAAAAGAAATTTCTGCGCAAAATAGTGCATGTACAGTTATGCACTGTAGTGATTGATAGCTAAGTGAATATTGGTCTCTTTAAGCGTTTGCACTTTTTCCTGCTTTGTTTTTCTTGATTTTTTAGTCACAAGTGAAATCTAGGCAACTAGTGAATACTTGTGAAATGGTTTTTTTTGTGGAATGTTTTTAATTAAGTCAGATCTGTAGGCACTTTCTGGTCTCTGAGCTTTGCAGTTGGAGGAAAAAATTATTAGGTGGACTTGAAAGCTGGCTGTAAATTGGAATATGATTCTGGCCTAACATCAATCATCAATGTACTAGCAAAAATCTTCTGGTTCCATTTGCAATTTGGATTTCAGAAAAATGGTTACGATTATTCACTCATTTTTAAGGTTGCAGAAAGCATTAGGAGATGATGGACGGTTGCCCACAGCCTAGAGTGCCTAGGCGGTTTTTTTTTAATAATAATTTTTTGATATAATTTTAAAAGAATAAGAAAAAAAATGTAAAATAATTTTAAAATTTATAAAATAAATAAAAAAATTAAACATTTTTTTATTCATTATTATGTCTAAAGAGCAAAAGTTAAAGGAATTACTTGACATTTAATGTTTTTTTAATATAATTTCTATAATAAATTAAATGATATCATTTTATTAGGTTAAAAAATTAATAAAAAGCATTCACTCAAATATTATAAGTGTCATTAAGTACGCTTAATAATGTGTAAATATACTTAATTGATTTGAATGAAACAAATCCCATTGAATTTATGCAAACGGAATGACATTATTTAGAGTTTAGGCTGATGCAGATGGAATAACACTGTCTAAGCTCTAGGCGGTGCCTAGAGCCTAGCTTTTTACAACACTGCTCATTTTTATTGACAGATGCCACTCAACCTTTTTTATTAGTTTGCTAAGAGAAACATGATTTTTTTTCCACCTTTTTTTTTTTTTGGATAAATTGCAGCTGGGGCATAACTCATTTGTTGAAAGCTTAGTATCTCCCATTCAAATTGTTGGTTGTGTCTTGTCTATTCGATTTCTAATGGGTGAAAGATCTGCATAAAAAATAATATGATATCATGCCATCATTTAACAGTTGGCTGTTAATTTTATGGGAAACAATCTCAAAAACACTCTTTGCTTGATGATTACTGCTGTCTTTTCTGCTTTAGCCTTCAGATCCCTATTGATCAATATTCAAATCTCTGTTGAATACATCCATGCATGATAGTGAAAGACATCACCTGCCAGAGTTGGTCTCAACACGAATTGTTGTTTCTAAATGCTTATCTTATTAGAACCAGTAACTCATATCTTGAGTGTTATTCCAGGTTTGGCATTTCCCCAAGACAGTGATGGTATGACAGCAGCAATCAGTCGGAAATTGAAGGTAGTTTCCTGAAAGGGCAAAACTTGGAACATTATTAATCAATTATCTGATTCACAGGGAGAAGCAATTTTGGTTGAATAATATTACTTTTTTTTATCCTTTTGCAGAGGAATTCTTATGATAAAAGTAATGAGAAGAGGAGCAATGTGGATCTGGAAGATTATCATCCCATCGATCCAGTTCCAAGTTCAAAGGCTTCCATAAAACCTGGACCCATCCAGCATGGTAGCCCTCTTATACCATACATCCCAGGGAAGCCTTCACCTCCTGGACATCCTAAGACTGGTGGATCCACTTAGCCTGCTAATGAGCCATTTCTCAGCGAAATGCTAGAATGTCAAAAATGTAGCAAATTAAGTAACTTGTTTCTGATTTCACTTAATCATGTTGTCTTTAATATTCTGTCCAGACAGTGAGGCAGTCATCGAGAGTACCTATGTATTATGCATATGTTTGTGTTTCTATGATCTGCAGGAATGCTGTTCCATTACTGACTCTGGCTTAACGTATGTTCTTCAACAAATAACAAGTTCACTTCATTCCCTTGTCATTTTACTTCAATTGTCATCTCTAATCTCTTACCAGTTTTGAATTATGAATTTAGCTTAATCCAATCGATATTGTTGCAGTAACTAAAATATGCAATTCAATCATATCATCAAATCATGATCCCCATTTTGTGGTCTGGCTCGATCCCACCCTTCTCATTGTTATGTGTATTAGATTAAATTTACTTTTTCGATAGTCTAAAATAGTGTCGCTACACCTAACAAAGATGTCAAAACTAAGAGGAAACAAGCAAAAAACATGGAAGAACATCAATCATGGTGCCGACCATTGTTCAAGAGGGACGTCCTTATACAAAGCTACCCAAAAACAGTAGTTTTTAGTGGAAGACAATTAAAAGACCAGAAAGCCAAAAGAGGCATAACTTTCTTCCTCTCTCCAACCTATTTTTATTGCCACCTTTTTAGTTTCTCCTCTCTCAATCACCATCTTTACCAAGTTCATTCTTCTAATTCCCTTTTCCCCACAGCTTTAAAAGACAAAGGGCCATGATCATGATTTGCAAAAACAGACGCCTTTTTATCATCTTTTTTATTGCGTTTTGCAAAGTGGCCAATGGGACCCTCTTGACATCATTAATTTCTTAGAAGCTTTTCTTAATCCAAATTAAGCAAATATAATTTGAAGTGATGCTCAAGTTATAACAACCTTGGTTCCCTAATAATCATAATTTCTTAATCAAATTAAACATCATCAATCATCATCGACAATGTTGTTACCATATTGTTCTCAAATTATGTATTAGGAATACATTTAGTTTAGTGTATGGTCACTATTGCAGGACACTTTGGAAATCACTGCTCTTTCGGTGGATTATTGTCCTTTATTATTTCTAAATTAGGCAATGATACAATAGTGCCGTGTTTTAATCATGTTTCTTAATTATGTCAGTCCTTAATTTGCCCTACTACAAATTTCTCATTTTCTTAGTGAAATATAATCACATTAATTCTCCTGTTTATTCTAATTAAAATTACTTAATGATTCTGATGCCGACAACATGATTTCTTTATCTTACTCTTTTCCCTTTTCGTATCTCACCCAACTTAAGATTTGAATACTATTATAACTCAAATTTAAGATTTATATTTTTTTAAGATAAGAGATGGTTACTAAACAACTTATCACTTGACAAATCTTGTTACATACTAAACAACCCCTCAAACTACCGTGCTTGTAATTTTGATACTTGTCTCCCACGATTTAAGTTCTTTTTGTTCTGGAAGGATCTTTTAACTCTTAGACTAAGCTTTAGAGACTTAGATCATAATGAAATATTACTTTTTGGGATTTTGCCCGTGATGGTTCTTTTGACCCTAACCTTTCAAGGTGTCTTGTGATCTTTGAATCCGTCTACTGTGAATTTTGGCCGTAAGAAGGATAATGCATACAAAAGCATGCATTTAGAAAAGGAAAGTGAAGGATAGGCATGCAGTACAGGATTAGCTTAGCCTCACATAGTAATTAAACCAATAAAATAGTAATTAATTGAACTAATTGATGATTAGGGTACCTGAGAACACTTATTAGTACTTGTAAATTAATTAATGTCTTTATTCCATCCATCATTACCTGTAATAATTAAAGTTGTTAAATGGAACTTCCTCTTCATCATCATCATCATATCCCTTTACTTGCATAACTCTAACTTCTGTTGATTGACTAATTTTTACCAAATCCTCAAATCTTGCAGCTTCAATGTAAATGATAATTTGCTGTTGATTACCAGATCATACAAGTAAACTTACTCCTAAATTTATCCTAGAATTAAGATTGTAAACTTAACCAATTATTACAACCCAACTAATGTACTGTTGGTTCGGTTTAATTTCATCATGGTCAAGTCGTTTGCGCAGAGAGCAAGAAAGTGAAAAAAACAAGGAGAAGAAAAAAAATGAAAAAGTTAGAGATATATGGAGAAATTGAGTTCCAACGAAGGCACATGCTTTTTCTTGGTATGCATGTGTGAATTTCACAAAAGTCGTATTCCCCATTCCCCATTTCACGAATTTCGCATTTGTGCTTTGAACCTTCATGTCATTCAACTCCAGTTTGGTTTTCTCTAGACAAAGATAGAACAAAATCAGAGATCATGGAAGGATAGATGCTATGTTTATTTCGTGGAGAGTATTGAGGAAAATATGAGGGCAATAAAAAAGAAGATTTTGGGTTTATTCTTTAGGAAACCATGATAAATTAAACTTTTTTGGGATTTAAAAGAAATTAAGTCAATAAACAAGATTAAAAAAACAATTCATTCGTGAAATTTGTATGATTCATACATATTCTTTTGTAAAATAATCATAACATATATGTGAGTCGTTCATTAAAAGAAAAGAAACATATTTGTGAATCATATTTATTTGCTCTAACATTTTAAAGTAACAAAACCTCATTGGAAGTGATTAAGCAATAGACTAGTAATTAAGCTCTTCCAACAACCTCTCCTCCCTTATTATTTAAGGTAGTGGTTGATTATTGGGTGTATTTTGACATGACATTTATCCATTGACAAAACAAATTCTTAATTCACCTCACCATAAAAATGTTTTTTTAGCCTGGACTAATTGAGGTGTTTAACATAAAAATATAGTGTTATTAATACATGGAAATAAAAATAAAGTTGTATAATTTATAAGCACCTTGGTTATTGTCACACAAATATATTTTTAATATTATATAATTTTATTAGGGATTAGTACTTGTCCGCTTACCTAAAAAAAATTAAGAGGAAAAATAACAAAAATCACCTTAATGCATGCTTTAAAAATATGGTAACTTAGTTTTTTTCAATAAAAATTTATTGAAACGATATAGTTTTAGAATGATTTTTTTTCTAATCTTTAGAAAGTAAAACTGATAGACACTTTTTCTATTTTATTATTTGTAACTTTTTTTTTCTTACACATTAGTTATAATATTTACAAATATTTACTTGTAAATTGATTTTAATTTATTAAGGGGTAATAAATATTAATTTTTTATTAATTATTAATTGTTTCTAATAATTAAATTGATAAAATAATAATTAAAATTTTGTTATTTTAACAAAAACATGTGTGATTATAATCATAAATACATTTTAAATTATATATTAAATAATAGAAAACTCTTAATATTAAAGGATTATCTACCATTTAATATATAGTTGTTTGAATGATTTAAATTCCCCAAGACGACGAAGAAGAGACAAAATAGTACTTTCAAACTCATACTAACATATATTTTCACATAAAATTATTACGAAATTTGAATCTACTAAATTATATACTTAAAATCATTTGATGAATATAATAAATTTTTTAATATTAAAAGCATTTTTTTATTTAATAATTTTTATTTATGAAATATTTTTATTTTATGATTTTATATAATATAAATTACAAAACAAGATTTTTTATTTTTAAACTACAATAAACTGAAAAATATATTTCTCCAATCACAATTATCTATTGTATTTTTTTTTTTTTATCCATTACAAATTTAGAGCGCAGCTAATCAAACTCAGGACAATATAATTAAGTAAAAGATACACATTCAACCAGTTAGATTAGGAAGGTAAAATGCAACTACAATTAGTTGCTTTAACTTGCCAAAAAGGACAAAGAAAAGTTGCCACTTAGGATGACTTGACATTAACTTAAAGACCCTGTAATAACTCAAAGGTAAATTATTATGCCCTTTCCATCCAGTTTGTTAAGTCTTTTATTATCCCTTAAGCTACTGACTTCGCGTCGATGTTTTTATGTTTTTATTTTTTATTTTTAAATTACAACAAATAAATTTAATTTGTTTAAATACATTAGTGCAATGGCACGTGAGAGATTAACAAAGAAAAATAATTGAAACTTCTAAATATCGTAAAATGATTTTCATGAAGAAATTTATATAAGACATCAACAGGGTGTGGTTGTTGTGGCCATTTCTTTTGTTAAAATTATTAAAATTTGATAAATATTTTTAATTTTTAAATAGATAATTATAATATTTAAAAATATTAATTTATAAA